TGGAGTCTCTTACAGCGGAAAGCCCCCCGGTGGGTGACTATGGTCTGTGCCTCGGCGGTTTCTGCGTCGACCGGTAACTGTTGGTAAGCTTGTGCCAGGTCGAGCTTCGCAAAAACCTTGCCTCCCCCCAGTGAGTGTAGGAGGTGCTGAATTACTGGGACGGGGTAGGCGCTTTGTTGTAAGGCGCAATTTAGGGTGGCCTTATAGTCCCCACAAATTCTCACCGACCCATCGGGCTTGACTGGGGTGACTATGGGGGTCTCCCACCGGGCGTGATCGGTTGGCTCTAGGACCCCCTGTTTGATGAGCTTGTCTATCTGCTCATCGATCTTAGGCCGGAGTGCAAAAGGTACCCGCCGTGGTTTTAAACGTATCGGGGGAATGCTGGGGTCTAGACTGAAGGAAATAGGGGGCCCTCGGTACTTGCCTAGGGTGCCGTCGAACACTTCCTGGAAGTCCCTTGCGAGTTGCTCTTCCCAGTCTGCCTCTGCAATGTGGTCGATGCCCGTCACTTCAATTCCAAGCGGCGCGAACCACTGTAGTCCCAAAAGGCTGGGGCGGTCTCGGTCCACGACCGTCAGGGGAAGCTTTGCTGTGCGCCCTTTGAATGTCACTTTGAAGTGTCCTGTTCCGACTACCGGAATGCGGTTTCCTTGGTAGTCTTTAAGGATTAATTTCTGGCTTTCCAGCCCCCTCTTGTGGATTCCGGGCACCAGGCGCTTGATTTCCCGCCATGCAACCATGGAGAGGTAGGACCCGGAGTCCACCTCCATTTTGCATGGCTTGCCCTCGATGCCCACTTCCACGTATACCTTCCGGGCATCTGCGCTTGATGAATGGCCGATGACAACCGTTTGGTGGGTCTCCTCTCTCCTCCGGTCCTTGCCGTCCCGTCGGCCCCATCCGTCCCGGTTCCAACGACTCTCGGCTTGTCGGTCCCTGGGCCTGGGGGGGTGCCGTCTCGTCTCCGGCCGCTGTTGTCTCGTCGTCGGGGGCTGTAGGCTTTCTTGAGGCGGCAGACTCGGGTGATGTGGCCTCTCTTATCGCAGTGCCGGCAGATCGTGTCGAAAAACCGGCACTCCGATCGAGGGTGGTCGCCTCCGCACCCGGCACATTGGGGGCCCGACTTACGACTCCGTCGATCGCGCCGGTCCCGTTCTATTTGGAGTCGATGGATGTCCTCCTCTTCATCCGTGGTGTCGGAGGCGGAGTTGAGGTCGCCATGGTGGGTGGTGGTTTCCCAGTGGCTTGCTTCTGGACGCGTCTCGGTTGTCGTGCTCGCCTCGGAGGTCGTGGCTCGGTCCCCGGTGTCCTGTCTCTGCATTCGAGCCGCCGATTTCCGGGTTGCCTCGGCGGCGGTGGCTTCGGCAAGGGCGTCGGCGAGGGAGATGTCTCCTCTTGCCATTAGCCGGCTTTGTAGGACTGGGTCTTTGAGCCCGAGGACGACGCGGTCTCGTAGTGCCTCGTCCATGTCCGTGAAACCACACAGGCCTCATAGATTCCGTAGGTCTGCCACGAAGTCGCTGATGCTTTCACCCGACTTCTGGTCCCTCCGGTAGAAGTCGTGCCGCCTGATGAGGGTGGGCACGGCGGGAGCATAGTGGCCTCGGAGCAACGGTTCAAGGTCAGCCCAGTCCATCGCCTTTACGTCCTCGGGTCTTGCAAGGGCTTTCGCCATTTTAAACACTGCGGGCCCGCAGTGTGTCAGGAAAACAGCCCTTTTTTTCTGCCCGTTTGCGTCCTTGAGGTTGCTACTCTCTAGGAACATCAGGAACCGATCAATGTACGATTCCCAGTCCTCAGTAGCTTGGTTAAAGGGTGCGGGCGGTGCGAGGCTGGCCATCTCGTCGGTCTCGTTCCCTCAGGACCACGTGCTCGGTGGGGGATCAGTTTCGGGATCCCACCCTCGTCGCCAGTGTTGTGTCCGTCGCAGGGAAGGAGACTCGGGAGCCAGTGACTTAGCTCAGCTCTTTATTAAGTCCCGAGATCGGCTTGGGCTACAGAAGAAAAGCGGCGGCTTTTATTCTCTGGCGGCGGCGGCCGCAGCCAATGGCACCGCTTTGAATCTCCCGCGATTAGTTTCCACCAATCGCGGGGATTCGCGGCGGGCCAATCCGTGTGGCTCGCTCAGCCAATCAGGTTGCCGTGCGTTCTGACCAATCACAACGCGGCGCTTGCAAGTATGTTAATGGATCGTACAGAACAGATTTGATAGTCCTTCAGGATCAGGGCTCACAGAAACAAGCCAACTCTTGAAGTTATGGCTGTTTATCCCCCCTCTCCCCCCACCCAATAAAGTCAAATGGGACAGAAGCCTAGCAGATGCTAGAGGAAATGACTCTGAGCAGAGTTGTCCATTTACCTTTCATTGCCTACCCTTTCCCTGATATTGAAAAACCTTCCCAGCACTCTAATGCTATGTTTTTACTACATCTAAAAAGATAAGTCAGTATCATTAACTTTCCTCAATTGACTATAGGGAACTGAGATTTAGAGAAAGCAATTTTTCCTTAAGGTCAACAGATGTGTTTATAGTTGAGATAAGGTAGAAAGTCAGGATATTATTAACTTTATACTATATTACTATTAAGATATTCATAGTCTATGTATATATAGACTATACAGTTATAGTATGTGTGTGTATACAGTAGTATGTTGTCTGTACACATATACATACATGTGTATATACACACAGTACATACAGTACTATTTGTGTTATATTACTATGCTGCAATAGTGAATGAAGTTGAAAAAAATCATAGAGTAATGAGAGCTGATCTATAAAGTCACTGAAAGCTTGATGTAACCAAACATATGAATAAGAGAGTCAGCGCTATATTTTTCATCAGTTTTCCCGCTCAATAGAGCCAGAAGAGGTAAAGATACTCTGTAAATACCAAGTCATTTATTCCATATGCATTTTGGTGCTTTGAATTAATATACCATATGTGATTTATTTCATCTACTTCATCAGCAAGAGACTGCCTGGACAGTCATACTATATTGCAAGAATTTACATTAGATGACTGTTAGAATATCATAATGTTGTTACCTCTTCTGTATAAAAGCAGAAAAATCAATGTAAATGTAATAGTTAAACTATTGCGTGTTGTTGATATCACAACTCTAACAACACCCCTGACATTTTGCAAATTAGAGATAACACCTTCCAAACAAAAATATTGCTTTTATACCGAAGAGGCACATACATCTAGTGCAAAATCTTGCAATATAGTACGGCTGCCCATTTAAACTCATTTAAATTTAAACTCATTTAACTGAGTTTTTCAAAAGATGCATGTTCTCCCTGCAAGTTATGAGACATAGTGGCAGAGGTGTTCAGGGAGACTTGGAAAGTTATAATTATTTGAAAGTTAAAATCGGATATTTTCCAACCCTTCACAATTACTTTCAAAATCCAGCCCTTCTCCCCAGTCCTCCAGCTTACTCACCTATCTAAGGATACAGTTGTGAGAGTGAAACTGCTGGCATACATGGTCAGATAGATGAAGAAATGCACTGCTTTGCACATGAAGGGGCCAAAGATCCAATTGTCCAGGCTATAGATGGTGGCCTGGAAGGGCACACAGAAGACAATGAAGCAAAGGTCAGCCACCCCAAGATTGAGGATGAAGAGGTTGGTGGTATTGTTCACTTGCCCATTCCTCAGCAGCACTGCAAGGACCAGAGAGTTGCCTACGGTGCCTACCAGGAAAATCAAAAAGTACACCAAAGGAATGATTACAGAGATCAGGTGCCAAGTGTTACTCTCACTAACCTCCGAAGAGTTTAGCAGGGTCAGTGACCGGTTCATCTTAGAAGCAAAGTGTCCTCTGGTTGGGAAGAAATGGAGACAAGATGCTTTCCCTCTCTGGATTTGCCAGAAATGCTCAAATCACTTACAGCTGCAGATTGCTTTCAGTCAAAACTTCTTGGGGGAAAAAAAAAAGAGAGAACAATTTTCTTCTAAGCTGATCTTTTCCGCATCTACTTTTCCATTTATAATCCTGCAGAGCAGAGGAACTTTCATGCACCGATGCCGGACCTCTGTCTGCCATCACTTACGGTTAAAGCTCTACTTTTTCTTGCGAGAGGATTTCCACTTTGTTCAGTGCTGAAACGTTTTTTTTAGTTTTCTGCCGTGTCTCTCACAGGAAAACTCTTCACTGGCAGCCGCTCTAATAGGTGTGCAAGCTGAGACTAAACTTCATGCCAGCCGTGCTCACTGCCCATTTTATACTCCCCCCACCGAGCCTGTTATTTTCAGCGTGTGCTGAATCCTCCATCATATTCATGGGGACAAATAATATATTCAAGACATCCCCTTGTTTCCAGGGAGACAAACAGCCAAAATAAAAGTAATGGTGTCTGTGGAAATATAGTCCCCTCCTCATATACACATATACACATTCTCTCTAATCTCTGATAGTAGTTGACCATGTGCTTTTTAGTTGGAAGGCTTCAGGAAGTTTTTAATGAGAACTTAAAACGCAGTTGAATGAGCCTCACAATCAGGTAGGTCAGAAAAAGAATCTCTTGTGTGCCGGTTCTTGTCCAAACCATTTCAAAGACCTAATAGGAGAGGAATAGTACATTCACTGACAGCTGCCATATAGAGCCAGTATGTAAGTGTTTTACATACTGTTTTCCTCTGATTCTGACAAATGCTATCATAAAAATGTGCCTGTGCTAATTTACATCAACAACCAGGAACAAGGGATGTATATGTTCAGGACACTGGTTTGGAGTTCAGAGTTTAAGGCATTGGAGGAGGTTTGATGGGGAGGGATTCACAGAACTCATACATTGGTTTGTTTGGCTTTGGCTTAGAGGAATGTGTGAACATGGCCATTATGATTTACAAACTATAGTCGATTGTGGAAGTTTGCTACTGATTAGGCAAAGGGTTGATCGGAATGCTGTTCAGGATCAGGGAAATGAGGAGGAAGCATTGAGGGCAGAAGGCAACAGATCTGCATCCGTTTTGCAGTTCAGAACATACTTTTTTCCTTGCAGCTTTGTGACCAGGGACATCACAAAACTACTAGGTTAGTCTATGAAAGCAGCTTAAGGATACTTCAGTGTCCCTGTTAGAAACAACAAGATTCCCTGTCTGATCATTACTCTTGAAATTGCTCCATAGTAATTTATAGGGCCATTGCCTCCACATAAGCACTTTTTATCCATTCTATGAGTAGGTTTTTATTTATTTATTTTGATGCATCATTTCGGAAGCTTAGATGAAGCCACAACTTCAAGGGGCTTCTGGTTCATATAGAAAACAAATTAGGATATTGGTGAGTTTTGATTTGTATTCTTAAAATTATACTTAGTTTATATGCATAAGTATAATTTAAAAATGCAAACTGTACCTCTACCAATCACCACAACATCTGGAATCACTTCCTCCCCAAAGATCCACTGAAAAAAAAAATCAGGTTTTAATGATCCTCTGGAATATGGTAGAGATGGAACCACTTGTATCTCTGAAGCAGGGTGATCTCCCACCACAAGGCTTATCCATGAGGATCCTGATAATATTCCTTTGGGTCAGAAAATGCAACAAACCAAGATCTTATCATGATAAGGAGATTCCATAGGTGGAAGAGTCTCCAAGATACCTAGAACCTATGAGGAAGAAGAGATGCTCCATGGAGCAATTAGGACAGTCCTCAGACAAGGCAATATTCCAGTTAAGCTGTATTCCACTATTGGAAACATATTAATGAACAACTCACAGGTAAGGAAAAGGATTTCAATTCCTTTTCACTGAAACTGCTACAGTTGCAGTATTCTTGCTTTGTGAACTTTTCTCACTCCAGAGGTACTTGTCTTCATTGCCAGCATTTCAAATTAGAACCACAAGAAAATTCAAATACATATATACCTTTTGAAAGAATTGTCCATCTGGTTCAGTTCCAAGCCAGGAGAAAGATACTAGAAACATAGAGACTGACTTCTGGTGGCACTTCCATCGAGAATGGACAGAGACCGCGATCGTGCATGGCTTCAACGCGTGCTTACCCTGTTGGAGGGGTCCCTATGGGACCGGAACCATCAGACCCATCTCAGAGGGGTGGAGGAAGAGGGGGAGACCACCAGTCAGGTTGAGGGGAGCCACATCTCCCCTCCCTGGCTTGGTATACTTCCCTGGAAGACAGGGAGAAGCGGCAGTTTTATTGGCTGCCCTGAAGATGGGAAGCTACCAGGACTTAAGTGTGCACTGGAGCAGTGAAGTGGTGAGCGGCGTGTAACCAGCTAAGAGAAGCTGAACTTTTTGTTTTAATAATCCCGAAAAGCAGAACGAAGAATTCCTCGCTTGAGAGTATAACAGCGACGAATAGAAAGCAAGAAAACAATATAAGGTAAATAAAAAATTGGACTACAAAAGAGCTATAACAAAATCAAGGACGGAATTGGGAATAACATACAGAATCTGGCATTAATTAGGCATTGGATAAAATGCTGAACTTGCTTAGAATTGATTACACTTAAAAAAAATCAATGGTTGAAATGGTTGAAAATTAACATTATCATGAGCGGATGGCTGTGATGTGACATTCCGGTGCCAAACCAAAACCCGGAACGTCACATCACAACCACCTGCTCAAGATATCACATCACGAAACCCAGGAGGTTACACCACAAAACCTCAGGATGTTACAACACAGCCAACGACCCAGGAGATTACAGCACAAGACCCAGGATGTCAAAACAATAGAACTCAGAAGGTCATCACACAGCCCATTACCCAGGTTGTTACAACACAGGAGGCTGATAGACACACAGCCAATACCTCAGCCACACATGTTCTTATGAAAAAGCCGGCCAATCTGCAAACATCAACTCCATCAACCAATCAAGAAATGACAACACAGCCAACCTCCCCACCAGTATTTATAGAGAGACAGCAGCTCCGATCACGCTTTGCTCACACAAGCATGAAGCCGAAAGCAGAAGCCTGAAGATGGCAAGTGGGACCTCGTCAAAATGTCGCCAAGATATCTCAATCTTACACGGGAAAAGACCCAAACACGCCAATACCTGCATATGCATATATATACATGGTATTCAGCTTTGTTTGGGTATTTTCCCACGTCATTGTAGTTGTGCTTTTAAAGTTGTAGCAACGTTTCATGTAAGTACCCGCGAAAACTTAAGAAAACAAATATATATATATGGATCCTTGGTTATTCGGGTTTTCTCCTGCGTAAAATTGGAAGTACCTAGGCGACGTTTCGATGAAGTCTCATTCATCATCTTCAGGCTTGTGTCTTCAGCTTTGTGCTTCTCGGAGTAATGTGAGCTTGCAGCTGCTTCTTCCTTTTAACTGCTAGTGGGGTGTGACTTGATTGGGTGGGGGCTTGGCTGTGTTCTGATTGGTTGGGGGGTTGGCTGTGTTCTGATTGGCTGGGGGTGTGTTCTGTTCAGGTGGGGGCTTGGTTGTGCTCAGGTTAGTCTTAGTTGCCGGGGGATTTGAGCTGGTGAGCTGTGATCCTGTTGTTTGGCTTTGCGTTCATGGTCGTGCCACATCTTCATGGTGGGCATCTGTTCGCTTCATGTATGGGTCGGAGGGGTTTGAAGCGGGTAGTGATGCAGCTGTCCACCCTACAAAGGATTGGTCATTAAAGAAGAACTTAGTCACAAATGTGAGTTATGAGGATACCTGATGAACCAATAAATGTACTTTTTCTATGGACGTCTTGTTTAGTTATCTATCTGCATCTGTACAGCTTATAAATCCTCCTCTGTACAGGATACAGAAAAGGTGGGATTCTACCAGTTCGCACCTATTTGCTAGAACCGGTTAACATTCTAAGCAGTTCGGAGAACCGGTTGTTAGAAGAAATTATTGGCCTAATCCTGTAAGGAAGGCAGGAAGGAAACATTCTGGTGTTGCTTAGAGAAACTGCCTCTCCATTAACCCTTATTACATTCTTGGCAGGACTAGACTTCCTGTCTCAGGAACTTCTCTGGAGTTTTTTTTCCCCCTCCTTTGCTGGTACTTTGCTTGTGTGGAGTGACCATTCAAAGTTACAATGGCACTGAAAAAAGTGACTTATGACCATTTTTCACACTTATGACTGTTGCAGCATCCCCACAGTCATGAGAGGCCAGGCGAGGAGATGCGTGGCTCGATGTGAGTGATATTGAGTTGGCCACACCCAGCCAATAACATGACCACCAAGCCACATCCAGCCAGTCACATGACCACTAAGCCACTCCCACCACCTAAGCCATGCCCACAGAACCAGTTGTTAAAAATTTGAATCCCACCCCTGGTTCTCAGGTAATATAAATCCTTACTGAATCACCAAGCTTGAGGAATAAGACTGACTATGCAACGTCTCAGAGAGGATGGTTTTGGTTCAGATTTCTGCTTTGGTCATGATACAGATGTACATTATTAGCTCTTATTTCTCTTTAAAGCATACTTGTTCACTAAAAGTTTAGTGAAGCCATTCCCAAGCTGACGTCCTGCAGGTGTATTTATACGTAATAGTTCTCAATCCCTCTGTTGGCTACGGATAATGGTAATTATAGATCCAAACATCTAGAAGGCAGCATGTTGAGAAAACCTGAGTATTAATTCCAGTTCTATTCAATATTCTTGGAACTTAGCTGGATTCAGTGTAGTCTTTCTCAGATCCTAGTATAAAGCATAAAACATGACCAGGAAGGGAGCCATCAGATAAGAAGCATCTGTTTACTCTCATTATCCCAGCGACAAAACACTGAGGCTTTGAAGTTACCACTGTGCAGTAATCTGCTTACATTGGCTTTCTCGTTAAAAAGTTCACAATCCAAAAAGTA